TCATTAGAAATATGGGACAAATACAACTTTTTAATATCTCTCTCACACTCGATGTCCAAGGTCAAGGTCCAAGCTAAACAAATATGAGTCTACTATGATAAAGTGGGTTTCATAGAACATTAACATGGATCCTTTAACATGATCCTTAAATTATGATTAAAAAAAACTACATTAGAGTATGCTTTGTTGGTGTATGTGATCAGTAATTAAGGTACGGAAAAATTACTCTTTTTTTTTTTATACAAACTCATAAATCATTATTTGATGATTCAAACGAGGGTAATTATTTATACTATAGGAACCATTCATTTTGAAGCAATGGAATGGGGGAAGCCTGGGTCCATGAAAGATAAAGAGTAGTTGCGTCATCGATCATTAATTTAGTCCTTATTTATAGGCAAAACGACCGACCAAAAGGGCTATGGTGATTCGTTTTGTATTATATTACAAGCTTTTAGAAGAGTTTCCATACATCTTTTCATGCCAACCAGCCGGATTACAACAGGCCATTTCAAAACTTTTCTGGTCCATTTGATGTATAAAATGTGCACTTCAATATATGTTAAAGCGTTTGTAAATAATAGATACCCTCGTCTTGTGAAGACTTAATGACGAGTTTATATAATGAAGTTTACTATATGAATTTAATCTTGATCTCATGAAAAGTGTAAGTTCTTCGTTATATATCTTTAGTTGAAGAGCATTATCCTTAAAATGATAGGTTTTCGTTCACTCGAACTAACTATATCGCATGAAACCCTCATGACCCCCTTTTTTTTCACCGCACCACGACTTCTTACTAAATCCAGATGCTTAGATGAGAAATCGAACCTAAGATCGTACACCTTAATATATTATCCTAATTCATCCTCACCATCTGAACATCACGGATGGGGATGGGTTAAAATAGTATCTAGATGTGAAATTTTTCCAATAAAGGCAGAGGGGTATTATCATACTGCTTAATTACATCTAAGGATATCTAATGATATAAAATTCATCAAAAGATAAGAACTGTTGTCAACCATGTTATAATATTCAATTATGGATCTCTTTCCATGTATAATAATACTTAATAACCTACATTTGACCTGCAATCCAGATAACAAGTTTTCGTTTGGAAAGCAAAAGATATAGATTGAAACGTTTCCAAAATCAAAAACCTTTTGACAGATCATCTTTACAAAACCGTTGATTGAAATGTTTTCGGGAAACGCTTTTTAACGAAGTTTAGAAGTGTAGAAGCAAAAGACCATCTAAATTTTCCTACCCTTTTTCCTTCCTGCCAAACAGTCTCACGGCAGCAACATACAGCCAGATATCTTACAGATGCAATCTAGAAAGCCACATTTCACTATAAGCTTGCTAAGAAAGACTAAGTTTCATTAGAGCTATGGATACAATTCTGACGAAAAAGCAGAAAGTCTTCACTACCTTGGTCAGTTGTTTTATTGAAATTTGTCACAAAGGACTGGATCGAGCTATTAGCAACATTGGTGCTAATTACAATTTAATATATAGAAGGTTGAAGGCCTGAAGGTATAAGTTTCTGGAACTATAGACAGCAATTTATGACAGGATTTTGCAAATTAAGCAAAGATTCACCTTTTAACTTATAAGTGACGACTTGAAACAGCAGCAAGCACTGTGTAGACATGAGAGTCCTGTAAAATTGCAGCAGCTTTGACACGTGACTTTCCTGGCAGCAGCAGCAGCAGCTGGGACAATGGACATGGTGAGGAACATGACACAGAGCATGTACAGCAGCAGGTTGTTCGTAGATGATGCAGGCAACCACAACAGCAACAAATCCACGAAGATTGGAGTCAAATTTTCCACCTGCTCAGAATTAGTGCATCCCATCAATTTCACATAGTTCTTCATTATACTAGTGTACTCAATTTAGCATACTGACAGTGGAAATTTGTATAAAATGTAACAGTTTACAAAGATATTCTAAAAACAACATAATTATATAAGTAAATTTTTACAAGGTGAAACAGGCAGCGATCATAATGACGCTGCATGCACGAGGTTCTTAAGATAACATGATTTATGTGCGACAGCAGCCGCTTTGAGAATTTCACTCCAATTCTAAAGTATCAATACACGTTAGTATCTATGAGGTAATCCTACTTAACTCAAGGCTCAGGGACACTTTCTTCTCTGAACAAGACTGAGAATTGTCCACAATGACTATGACTGTTCTTGCAATGCCACAGGATGTATTTTGCTAGAAGTCCTTTAAACTAAAGTTTTGGTGTAAATGAAGGGTGATTAGAGCTTAAACCAGGAGCATGTAAACCAAACAAATAAGCGAGAGATGAAGTACCAGATTCTCTTCCAGAAGGGCTTGGATTTACACGTCTCCTGATTCTGATTTAAGAAAAAAATATCATCCAGTGTTAGTGAAGTAAATTTTACATCGGAATTCATATCAACAAAACAGAAAAAGGGTTATCTTCAAGGGCCTACATAGTGATTAAAGGATCCGCTTTAGCCCTTACAAACTCATCAACCCTGCCAATGAGAGTTAAAGATCAAATGGGATAAAAGACTGATACATAAACAACATTACGATGATTTCACTGAGTATATTATGCATAAGACAGTAAATCAACCATACATACTCTTTGCAGCATCTTGAAGCTAGCTGAAGATCTTCAACAGTTTTTAACTCTCCTGCTTGAACAAAAATCTATAAGTATACACCTATTTTACATTACTTCTATCATACGTTTAGCTTCATAAATACGGTACACACACATTGCATATACAGAGACTTCAATCTATCATTCAAAATAGCAGGGGACTTCACCAAGCAGAACATTCAAGGAAATGTGGCATTTGCCACTAGATTCTAGCTAATAATCAAAATATGCCTACTAGTAAAATTAAAACAAAATTATGTATAATAGAGGTAGTAATAAGAATCACTAATTCAATGTGCCATGTAAATCTAAGGCTAGAAACACAATCACTAATTCAGTTCAGGAATCATTTACTCTAAAAATTACACAATAATTGGGGAAAAGGATCAAAGATTTTTGGCTTAAATCAAGATTATTCAAGCAATCAACTAAGAAATACTACTTGGGCTAAGTCATCAACATGCACATAGATTAAAAGAAAAGATCCAAAATCAACAATGTCAATCGAACCTTTCATCTCTAAACATTAATAACCCACCAAAAGAATAAATATTAAAATCACTACTAAAAAACAAAACACAAAAACTGACCTGAAGCTGACCATCTCTCTCTCCAAAACGTGAACCTTGACCATCTGTCTCCTCTTGCCATACAAATCCACACAAGCAGGTGGAGACCTGGACTCTTTGGTGGCTCCTCCAATGTAGACCCCACTGCAAAATCCATCACTAAAACTAAAACTTAGAATAAATTAAAAATCATCTTCCTGTTTGTCTCTCACAAATAAGAGTTCAGCAAAGACTGGTCTACTAAGTGAAGTCAAGAGAGTGTGTGTTGTACGTGAAATTGGAAAAGGGTGAGTGTGAAAGAAGAAATGAATGAATGGAGAGCAATGCGGACGTGGAAGAGAGGCAAGTAATAAGAACATACTAAAAAAAGGGTTGTTGTTGAAAGTTGAGTTTGTGAGGAAGTGAAACGTTGTTAGTTTGTGAGGGTTGGCAGAAGCTTAAAAAGGACGAATACTCTGCAACATTGCAGAGAAACACGTGACTGAGTTGTTAAGACACAAAAATATTTTACTCTTTTCAACTTTCAGTTAATGCTTGGTTTTGGTCCCTCTCACAAACACAACTTCTGTGTCTCTGTGGACTTCGCATAGGAACCAGCTAGGATTCTTTTGTTGTTTTTGTTTTCCTCTTTTTTTTCCATTCACAATCACTTAGTCACTTACAAAGATTATAAAGGAAAAAAAAAATTTGAAGAAAAAAGGTTTAAGATTTAAAAAAAAAAAAAGTTAAATCATGTTCTAAAGGAGTCAGAAATGTCTACTCTTGATCCTTGAAATACTAAGCATCTAAAATTTATATATTTATCTTGTCTATTTTAGGACCTACTTGTTTAAAAAAGATACTTGGTGTTGGCGGTGGCAGTGGCCTTGTTGAACTTCCGTTTCTCAATATTTATTGCCCTGCTTACCATCCATGCTGCCAGGCCTTTACTGGTGGCCCAAATCCCCCTGGTTTTGTTCAATGCTCAGCTGCTCTTCTCTGCTCAAATTTTTCTGCCACTATTTTAGCACTTATTATAGGTGTGCCTTATAGTCTAAGCTAAACCTCTAACCTACCTTATTTCATGCAAACTGACATGTTGACGCGGGAGATTATGTAGTTGTCATAAATATTAGAATTTAGCCTTGAGGAGAAATGACAATCTGTTCACAAGCATAAAGAAAACAAAAACTTCAAGAATAAATGTATCGAGATTGATCAAACAAGCACAAAAATGAGCCTCGTCTTGCCTTATATCCCGAAGTAACATATCACAATCCTGAAATCACTAGATTAGGGTTTATTACAATGTACATATACAGTATATCTACACTTACAACTATATCTTTTTTTGCAATAAAACATCATTGCTTGTGAGGAATGCAAACTAATCAGGAAATCAATTTTTGAGACTCTTCTTCACATCTTAATTCTCCATGTCTATTTAGTTGATCAAAAGAGAAGGTCAATATAAACTAACCCATTGGTATTAATCCCATAGACGCGAGTAACTGAGAGAAGAATAATTCAGATAGAGGTAATAAGGCCTGCTCCCAGCAATTTACTTGGGGCATGTTCATTCCGAGGTCATACTACAAGTTGCCCAGATTAGTCCTGCATACGAGAAACCATTGTGTAAAACAGCCTCTGGTCCTGGGGAATCACATATGAGCTGGTCGTTTGACCAGGCTCGAGCAGCAATGACATACCCAAACCAACAAGTGTGTTGAACATGGACCTGCATAGATCCAGAGAATAGAACACTCGTACCCATCCCCACCAGTCCGAGAGCTCCTGCGGAGGGGGCAAGATTGCATCATAGCTTGAGTGCCTGGGTCATGAAGAAAAGTCAAATTAACCAGTTTAAGCAAAGAATCATAGAAGATGAAGAAAGTAATTTGAATAATTGCCTCTCACAAATTAATAGACTCTTAGAGAAATTTCACAAAATAATGTGCAACAATATAACATTGATATACTTGGTTTATAACAAAAATAAATAAAAATAAAATAAAAGCAGTTTCTTTATAAGCTAATTACCTGAATTTACAATGAGCTTTTAAGGAGAATGGAAAAGAAAGGTGAAATATATAATCCGTGTAATTAGCAAGCACATAACACTGGGGCCAATGAGTTCGTAACAAGAAAGAATATATCAAAGTGTTGAATGGAACTGCTACAAGTTTGTACAAGCCTTAATACATTCAATCATCTTCTTTAGACAGAATTTGATGCCTGTTTATTAAATGAAGCCAAAACATTAACCAAACATCTTGACATGAGGCAATATCTATATATGTAAAAGCAAAAAGAACAACATTACTTGGCCAAGCTTGTGTAACCACATTACTTGGCCAAGCTTGTGTAATGCATCAACTCTTGAATACTATTATTATTTATTTTTTCCTTTTTTTTTGACAACCTTAATGATACGACCAATGCCTGAAATTGATTCTTCAAGAAATTTATGAAATAATGAACTTGCACCATTGATGGAATGAAAGTATATATCAAAATAAAATTTCTTAACTTAAAAAATAAAAAAAGGCCTTCCAAAATGATAATATAAAAAAGAAAGAATAATTCAAATTAGCAAAGGAAATTACCTCCAGAGTTTTGTATGTTTAGCTTCACCAACATCCCTCCTATATCGCAACCCAAAAAGAAGATATTATTTTTATAGTAATTTAGAATTACTTGTGTGTCTATGAGCACAAATACTGGAATCATTCCTAGCAATTCTGCAATTGTTTATGCGGCTCGAACTTGTTCATGATACTGACATGAAATTCAAAGGCTAAGATGCTTGGAAAAATACCTTGATCGCATTTACAGCAGCTCAAAACGCTTCTAGATTGATGCCTTCAGTAACTTCAATAAAAATGTCCACAACAAGATATCAAATTTGTACTTAGAGGAGGCTGCAACATCAACAGATGAGAATGATTAGCCAATACTTATAAAACCAACTCCAACAATATATAATAAAGAAATTGCTAGGTGAACTTTAAATACCATTAGAGTGTGAAATAATGGTCAAAGCAGGCATAATTATTTGCCACTTCATAGAACCAAGAATAAGACAGAGCAATCCAATAATTCACCCATAATTGCTTCCCCACATTAGGCCTTCTCGATTCTACACACACTTCATTGAATAGGAAATATTGTTTCTCCTGCATTCGGTCTGTCCCAGTTTGAGAAAAAAACAGAACGAACTTATCCCAAGATGCCTTGTTTTCTCCTCAAGAAACATACTCTTCTAGGTTGTCCTTGCAAACCGACAAAGGATTCAATAAAAGCCCCCAAACAGGACATCTCATTTTTATTTTAAGAGCCTGCAACATTAATAGATGAGAAAGATTTAGACAAAATATTAACAAAATATCTCCAACAGTATATGATATAAAGCAATAGTCAGTGAAGTTTAATACCTTTGGTTGTGAAATAATGGCCTTAGAATGGAATTCCGCATGAGGATTATGCCACCTTATAGCATCGTAGAATAAATCAAACTTATCCAAAACATTCACAAGAAGAACCTTACAATATAAGCCATCGTGATTCTGCCTAAACCCTTGATTGTATTAAAAAGTTTCTCCATCATTCTGTCCATTGCTCTGCTCATCATCAGCTAGTCATATTTAAAAGGTCATTCCCAGTATAAGCAATATCTTGTCACTGACACCCGGAGAAGCTACTGGTTCACGGTCCAACCGGTCAAACCGGCTGGTCCAGTCCGGTTTTAAAACAGAGGTTTTGACATTCAAATATTTACTTTCCTTATCACACATCAACACTCTGAAACCAAAAACTCCACATTATATGTACAAAACTCTTATCACATACAATTTTTTTTTGTTTTTTGGTAACCAAGGTGTCCAGGCTAACTACTTGCACCTCAACTAATTTCCATGATCATTAAGTATCTTACAAACCCATAAAATGGGTACAACATAATTATGCATTGAGATAGGTGACCTCAAGATTTGAACCCAAAAGTCAAGGAAGGGAGTACACCTCCTTGATCACCAAGCCAACCCCTTAGGGTTACATCCCATTTTACATGGAATCTTAGCTATTATGAAATATTTCTTCCCAAATAGTACTAAAATCCCTTCTTAAATAAAGAACTACAAAATTGTCAAATGAGTTTGAGGAACTTATTATTGTAGGTATTGAGCCCAATACCACCGGCCTGGCTTCATCACCTTGAAAGACTTTCTTCTGCCATCCACTGTAAATACAAAAATAATCCATCCTCAAAATAATGCTTCATATATGTAGGAGCCAATACTTGCATCAGAGCTAGAGTTTTTCCTACCTTGGAAACAGATATGGTTAAGTGCACCTTGTTTATGCTTTCAATATGGAACTGATAGAGTAAATGTTTACAAACCGCCACAAGCCTGGAGAAGAAGAAATCTAAAATTAGTTTGAGAAGTTTATCATTCAACAAATTTTCGTAGCTAAATGTGAAATTTTTATATTGCCAAACTCAGTTATAAGAACAGATTATTGTGATGAACAAAGAAATATGAATTGAAATAAACTTTTTAAATCTATATGTTTTGAATTAAGAATCTTCATTACATAATTTCTCAATGAATGGTCAAGATTTACTACCTTGCTTGCAGCCAAACAGTTTGAAGTTTTCTATGTCCACGAGAACACCTGATTGTGTGTGAATCATTTGATACCATATCGCCTTTGCTATATCATCTCTTGTTAAGTCCACCAGGCGACAATGAAAATGAATCAAAATGAACATATTGACAGCAAAAATTTACAATTCTATAATTCAAGCACAAAATGGAAGAAGAAGGTATATCCAATTATCCATAGAAGTTTGATTGATATAAATATACCTTCTTCCAATCCTTCATTTCATTAATTGTCTTTAATTCCAATTTTGATACCGTTTTAAATTCCTCCGCCTTTAGCCAAGATACATAGGAAATTAAAAATTATCACAAATAGTAAAAGATAACACAAATTAATGTACTTGCTTCACAAAATGGTATACCATTTTAAATCATAAATAATTTCTGCTAAAGAAATGATTAATTACCTGAATTCCCAATGACTAAGGAGAATGAAAATAAGCTGAAAATATAAAATCCATGCAATTAGCAAGCGCAGAAAACTGGAACCAGTGAGCCCGGTAAGAAGAAAGAATGTATCAAATGTTCACCATTTTCCTTACACTGGCTTTCTGAATCCTGACAATACAGCTAAAACATATCAATAGATAGAATTTGATGCCTTTTACATGAGGCCACAATATTTTTAAATAATATATCTTAAATTGTTGTAGCTCAGTATATGGAAAAGGAAAAAAGCACCTCATTATTAAACATGCCACGCTTGTTTAGTACACCAACTGTGACATTTATTTATTCTTCAAGCAATTCATCAAAATTTATGAGGTGTTTTACATGGGAACCGAAATCATCATTTTATCATTTCCCAACCTTGATAGCCCTCGATTTGACTAATTTTTTATGAATCTCGCAACCCAACTCCACCACACGACAGCCATTTCCAGCTTTTTGGCATGTACCCGACATTGTTGGCATTCCCCGACACCACCATCTTCCTCCCCTCAGCCCTCTTACCAAAACCCCTGTCATACCTTATCCGTTTACTCTGCCAATCGTCGGCCATCGATACCTTTTGGGTCGTGACTTCTCAAGCTTTTTCTTATCAATCTTGGCATTGAAAATCACCAATTTCACCACCCATCACTTCTCCAACATCTACTCTCCAAAACCCCCCACCAACCTAACCTTGTTAGCCTGCCGATTGCTGTCCACCTCTCCTAGTGATTTTTCATCTCAAAAGGTAAAAAAATAATAATAATAATAATAATAATAATTTTTTTTAATATACGCTTATATTATTAGAGATTCCCAAAATAACTCTTGCCTAGGGTCACAAATGTTCTAGAGACGATCCTGGATTCAACATTATAATAACAGGACTGATAAATATGTTCCAGATAAGGGCTCCATTGAAGGAGATAAGGGATTGAAATATGATTATGGGAAATTTTATGCTTCCTAGGCTTTCTTTGATAGTGCTAATAATCGGAAGGTTTTGTGGGGATGGATTAATGAATCATCAAGTGTGGAGGATGATGTTAAGAAGGGATGGTCCGGAATTCAGGTAATTTAGAGATCATTAGTCATTGCTTATAACCATTTACTATCTAGCGAAATCCACATTTAAAAAAATTTAGTAGCTAAAGACTGTCTTCTTGGATTCAATAATGGAAGTGAAGCTGTAAAGATTGCAAGCTTGAATGCCTGGAGCATGAAGGACGCTCAAATTAATTGAAGCAAAAAAAATGATAGAATTTTGAGAGCATTTTTCAGTGCTAAATGTTGATCCTTTTCTTGTAAATGTGAAGTCGAAGAAATTAAAGGGAAATGGTATTTCAATAAAGAGGGTACTTCTTTATTATATCAAAAAAAAAAAAAAAAAAAATTGATATATTAATGATAAGATCTTATATGTATCGAAAAGCTAATATGTGTACTTGATTAAGAAATGAATGTAATATTCATATTTACGACTAAAGGAAGAAAAGTGTAAAACTTGCATCAAATAATAAGAATTTTACAACTTATTAACAGTATTTTACCATGGGACGTTGTCACAACTGATATTGTTAACAAGCATTTTCTCTTTTTGATAACCGAGGTTTCCGAGCCCCTACTTACCTCAAGGTTTACTACAAGTGAAACCTGGGACATGTCACGCCTGTCTAATCCTCGAGACTCAATAGATACTCTACAAACTCAATAGATCTAATAAATGACAAATATAGTAAGTGATCACTCTAGTAGTGAATCGAACACAAGATCTCTAGGTTCATTGACAATTCAAACCCAATGGCCTACCATCCAACTACAACGGAGTTGGTTTAAGAGAGTATTTTTAATATTCAGTTTATAAGGTTTGTTTGTATTACCAAAAATAAATAGACGTATTCTATGTAAACGACGCTTCTGTAAAACTTGAATGGAAACTCATGGGAGCTTAGACCCAATAAATTTTGCGTGTTTGGGCTTATGGTGAACGGTTTTTGCTTGGTTGGGCTTGGACTCAATAAAGTTTGTTGGGTCTAAAGGGGATCTAAGGTTTGCAGGCTTGAGCCTAAAGTATGCATTTTCCTTTTTAGTTGGGCTTGAATCCATCAGAATTTTCTATTGCAATTGGGGAGTAATAAAATTGTAAAAAATGCCTTTGGGAAATGAATTAAATTACTTCAACACCACAGCTGAATTATTCAAATTAGAGAAAATTATTAATATTTTGATCTCTTCTATTTTGAAACCAAACTTATTCTTAATAGATTAATAAAATAAAATAAAGCAAATTAAACACACAATAACACAAGATTTTACATGATTTTGACTAAATTTGCTTACATCCATAAAACGTGATCAATTCACTATAAATATTACAAGCACAATACAAGATCAAACCCTTCTCAGCCTATCTCAATTTTGACACTCAAGATCAATCACTCAAGACTAATCCCAACCCAGCACTAAACCACCCGTTCTGTGTTTTGAGAAGGGATTTTAGCATTGTTTTAAAACCCGGACCGGAGGGCAAGCCGTTTTGCTGTCCGGGTCACGGTTCAATCGGTCCAACCGGTTGGACCGGTCGGTTAGACCGGTGACGTCAGCAATATTTTATTTTTAAAAAATTACATAATAACCCCTTAAATTTTAATATATTACAAAATTCCCCTAAAAAAGTTCAAATTGGTCCCTAAAATTTTTATTTATTCCAAAAATACCCCAATAAAATTACCAATTAATCCCTAAACTTTTGATATATCTTCAAAATACCCCTATAAAATTACAAAGTAACCCTCATAATTTTAAAATATTTCAAAAACCCCCTTGAGACCTAAACCGGACCGGAGAAGCTACTGGTTCACGGTCCAACCGGTCAAACCGGCTGGTCCAGTCCGGTTTTTAAAACAGAGGTTTTGACATTCAAATATCTTACTTTCCTTATCACACATCAACACTCTGAAACCAAAAAACTCCCACTTATATTGTACAAAACTCTTATCACATACAATTTTTTTTTTGTTTTTTCGGTAACCAAGGTGTCCAGGCTAACTTACTTGCACCTCAACTAATTTCCATGATCCATTAAGTATCTTACAAACCCCATAAACTGGGTACAACATAATTATGCATTGAGATAGGTGACCTCAAGATTTGAACCCAAAAAGTCAAGGAAGGGAGTACACCTCCTTGATCACCAAGCCAACCCCTTAGGGTTACATCCCATTTTACATGGAATCTTAGCTATTTATGAAATAAATTTCTTCCCAAATAGTACTAAAATCCCTTCTTAAATAAAGAACTACAAAATTGTCAAATGCGTTTGAGGAACTTATTATTGCAGGTATTGAGCCCAATACCACCTGGCCTGGCTTCATCACCTTGAAAGACTTTCTTCTGCCATCCACCGTAAATACAAAAATAATCCATCCTCAAAATAATGCTTCATATATTTAGGAGGCAATACTTGCATCAAAGCTAAAGTTTTTCCTACCTTGGCAACAGATCATAGTTAAGTGCCACTTGCTTTTATGCTTTCAATAATGGAACTGATAGAGTAAATGTTTACAAACCGCCACAATGCCTGGAGAATGAAGAAATCTAAAATTAGTTTGAGAAGTTTATCATTCAAAAAATTTTCGTAGCTAAATGTGACATTTTTTATATTGCCAAACTCAGTTATAAGAACAGATTATTGTGATGAACAAAAGAAATTATGAATTGAAATAAACTTTTTTAAATCTATATGTTTTGAATTAAGAATCTTCATTACATAAATTTTCTCAATGAATGGTCAAGATTTACTACCTTGCTTGCAGCCAAACAGTTTGAAGTTTTCTATGTCCACGAGAACACCTGATTGTGTTGAATCATTTGATACCATATCGCCTTTGCTATATCATCTCTTGTTAAGTCCACCAGGCGACAATGAAAATGAATCAAAATGAACATATTGACAGCAAAAATTTACAATTCTATAATTCAAGCACAAAATGGAAGAAGAAAGGTTATATCCAATTATCCATAGAAGTTTGATTGATATAAATATACCTTCTTCCAATCCTTCATTTCATTAATTGTCTTTAATTTCCAATTTTGATACCGTTTTAAATTCCTCCGCCTTTAGCCAAGATACATAGGAAATTAAAAATTTATCACAAATAGTAAAAGATAACACAAATTAATGTACTTGCTTCACAAAATGGTATACCATTTTAACTCATAAATAATTTTCTTGCTAAAGAAATGATTAATTACCTGAATTCCCAATGACTAAGGAGAATGAAAATAAGCTGAAAATATATAAATCCATGCAATTAGCAAGCGCAGAACACTGGAACCAGTGAGCCCGGTAAGAAGAAAGAATGTATCAAATGTTCACCATTTTCCTTACACTGGCTTTCTGAATCCTGACAATACAGCTAAAACATATTCAATAGATAGAATTTGATGCCTTCTTTACATAAGGCCACAATATTTTTAAATAATATATCTTAAATTGTTGTAGCTCAGTATATGGAAAAGGAAAAAAGCACCTCATTATTAAACATGCCACGCTTGTTTAGTACACCAACTGCTGACATTTATTTATTCTTCAAGCAATTCATCAAAATTTATGAGGTGCTTTACAATGGAGAGCTCCGGTGGAGGGGGCAAGATTGCATCATAGCTTGAGTGCCTGGGTCATGAAGAAAAGTCAAATTAACCAGTTTAAGCAAAGAATCATGGAAGATGATGAAAGAAATTTGAATAATTGCTCTAAAGACTCTTAGAGAAATTTCACCAAATAATGTTCAACATTATACCATTGATGTACTTTGTTTATAAGAAAAAAAAAATGCGGTTTCTTTATAAACTATTACCTGAATGTCCAACGAGCTTTTGAGGAGAATGGAAAACAAAGGTGAAATATCTAATCCGTGTAACTGGCAAGCACATAACATTGGGGCCAATGAGTCCGTAACAAGAAAGAATATATCAAAATGTCGAATGGAACTGCTACAAGTTTGTAAAAGCCTTAATACATTCAATCATGCAAACCTTAAATTTTAGTGGTAAAAGAATCCTGACAATTTGACACGAAACATCTTCTTTAGATGGAATTTGATGCTTGTTTATTAAATGAAGCCAAAACATAAACCAAACATCTATATATGTAAAAGCAAAAAGAACCACATTACTTGGCCAAGCTTGTAATGCATCAACTCTTGAATTTTTTTTTTTTTTCTTGACAACGTTAATGATACGACCAATGCCTGAAACTTATTCTTCAAGAAATTTATGAAATAATGAACTTGCACCATTGTTGGAATGGAAATATCAAAATCAAATTTCTTAACTGAAAAATAAAAAAAAGGCCTTCCAAGATGTTAATAGACAAAAGAAAGAATAATTGAAATTAGCAAAGGAAATTACCTCCAGAGTTCTGTATGTATAGCTTCACCACATCCTCCTGTATCGCAACCAAAAAGAAAATATTATTTTTATAGTAATTTAGAATTACTTGTATGTCTATGAGCACAAATACTGGAATAATTCATAGCAATTATTTATGTAGCCAAAACTTCTTGATGATACTGACATGAAATTCAATGGCTAAGATGCTTGGAAAAACACCTTGATCACATTTACAGCAACTCAAAACACTTCTGGATTGATGCCTTCAGTAACACAGAGCAATCCAATAATTCACCATAATTGCTTCCCCACATTAGGCCTTCTCAATTCTACACACACTTCATTGAATAGGAAATATTGTTTCTCCTGCATTCGGTTTGTCCCAGTTGAGAAGAAAAACAAAACAAACTTATCCCAAGATGCCTTGTTTTCTCCTCAAGAAACGTACTCTTCTCAGTTGTCCCCGCAAACCAACAAAGGATTCAATAAAAGCCCCCAAACAGGACATCTCATTTTTTTATTTTTAAGAGCCTGCAACATTAATAGATGAGAAAGACTTAGACAAAATATTAACAAAATACATCCAACATTATATGATATAAAGCAATAGTTGGTGCAGTTTAATACCTTTGGTTGTGAAATAATGGCCTTAGAATGGAATTCTGCATGAGGATTACGCCACCTTATATCATCGTAGAATAAATCAAACTTATCCAAAACATTCACAAGAAGAACCAATATAAGCCATCATGATTCTGCCCAAACCCTTGATCGTATTAAAAAGTTTCTCCATCATTCTGTCCATTGCTCTGCTCATCATCAACTAAGTCATACTTAAAAGGTCATTCTCAGTATAAGCAATATCTTGTCACTGACACACGCATTTGAGAAAAAATAGTGAGCTCAAATTTTATCTGTTGATCAAAAAACATTTGATAGCAGTATCGATACGGTTCCTTGAAACACAAGCCTTGGTTCAGCCATTTCATCTTTCAAACACCTTCTATGCATAATTCTGTTCACCCAAATGTACAATTTCAAATAAAAAGAATAACTCAAAACTGAACCAAAGTAGTTCAACATCCGCGACAAAAATGGAATATACAATACAAATGCAATAGTAAAAACTTTAATCGAGAGACAATGAGCGTATGATTCTATCCTGAAGAAAGAAGGCAAAGACAGATAAAGCCAGATTTAATTAAGAGTAATATTGGGTCTACCCGGCCTCATAACATAATTTTAGTGCAAAGATGTTTCAATTAATTGCAGATAACAACAAACTTAGAAAAGGAGAAGAAATTACCGGTGGGTGGATCATCTTAATGTAAAGGTGACATTAGGAATGCGGGAGATCTTGGACCAATCGTCACTTGTCTCCTTGCAACACGAACTTAGAATATAGCAGTACTCAAATCGCCAATTGTTTTCATGTTGCGATTGAAGAATGTAATTGGGTAGCGTCTTTAATAAAAACGTGCACAACAGGACATCGGATTTGTACTGTAGAGAAGGGTGCAACATTAAGAGATGAGAAAGATTAGCCAAAACTTAAACAACAAAAAAAAAAAAAAATCAATTCCAAAATGTAAAATTACTGGGTGTAATTTTAATGTGCCTTGAATTTAATCGTTCACGAATCATGATCTTAGAATATTCTTTCAATTCTTTCAATTGTAAATAACAACAAACTTAAAAATGGAGAAAAAATTACCTATGGGTCAATCATTACCAGATGGTAACGTCAGGAATGTGAGAGATCTTGTGCCAATCTTCACCTGTCTCCTTCTTGTAACGCTGACTTAGAGTACTGCAACCGGCGATCTCCAATTGTTTTAGTGTTGGCAATTGAAGAATGTAATTGGGCAGCTTTTTAAGGGGGCTTAAAGTAATGCTCAAGTTACGAAGACATGGCATGATTGTAATAACTAATTCATCTCCTTTCAAAATAATATCATTCCACTCTTTCCATCCATCCATCCATAAAAACTCAAGATTTTTCAATTTGGGAAAGACAATAGAAGATGTGGGAGTGTCATCAATTTCTATTCCCAAAAATTCATTACCCACTTTTTTTACTCTCTTGGCCTTTTTTATAAAGAGTGATTCAAGAGATGGTAATTTTCCCAAAGGAGGCAAATACTCACAGTTATCACAATGATAAAGTCTTAACTCCCTCAATTGGGTTAATGAAACTATCCAATTTGGCCATCTATTTGTACCGAAATAATACCACAAACATAGTTTCACCAAATTTGGCCAAAGGTTTGCTCGCTTAACTTCACCCACATCTGCCACATTTTCTAACCCCCAAATACCAAGACACCGAAGATTTGTCAAGTTTTTCAAACTTTCAATACTACATGCTTTACCGCCATGGCTACTACTACTCACTACAAAATTTTCCAAAGTTCGAAGACAAGTTAATCCTTCAATTCCTTTTGGCATGTATTCTACTCTACAAGTACGAATTATAAAATGCCTCAAGTTGATTAACTTTCCCATCTCTTCAGGTAATTTTGTTAGACTATCACATCTGCCCATGTTTAACGTTTGTAGATTAAATAAATCACACAATTCCTTCGGTAATTCTTCTAAATAGTAATGAATTGATAAATCAAGATACCTCAAATGTATCATCTTTTTTATTTCTCTAGGGATTTCTTGAATATCACAGCCACCAATCTGTAATGATCTTAGACTTAAGTTTTCAAATAATTTGGACAGAGTCAGCTGGCTTCTCGAATATTGACTCTTAACCAAAAGACTACGCAATTTAGTTTCATCAACAATGCCTATAGGAAAAAAGTCTCGTCTTTTAAGAATCACCATTGAGTGTCGAGCATTTTTTAAAGAAGATTTTAAATGCAACTCATTGTAATTATCAGTCTCGACACTAAAACATTCATTTTTTGTAAGAAATTGAGCAAAATCATGCACTATATCATGCATCTTACAACTTTCTATGCTACCATCATATTTATTTTTCTTAAAGTCTTGAAAAAGAGAGCGCATTGCTAAATTTTCAAAATACTCTTCCCCAATTAACTCCATATCTTTGTTTCGCTCTTCCTTAAGATAACTTTGCGCCATCCATAACTTAATTAATTTATCTTTCTCTATCTCATGATCTTTTGGGAAAATAGCACAATATGAGAAGCATTTTTTCAATGAAAAAGGCAAATCATAATAGCTCAATAGTAAAGGTGGAAATATCCCTTGTTCTACCTCTTCTATTTCCCACATTTCACTATCTAGGACATTTTGCCACTCTCCAATATTTGTTTTGAAACGCAAGAAGCTTCCTAAGGTTTTTATAGCGAGAGGTAAGCCCTTGCATTTAGCAACAATTTTTCTACCAATATCTTCTAATATTTCATTGGCTTCACTTGGAAATGCAATTTGACTAAATAACAACCAAGACTCATTTTTTGATAATGTCCCTAACATGATCATGTTGGTGGCTCCTATAGTTTTTGAAACATTTTCCTTACGTGTGGTAACTAGAATTCTACTACCTTGAGAGCCACACTTTAAACAATCTTTCAGTTGTTCCCAATTTCTGGAATCTTCAGTCCATACATCATCTAGGACAAGAAAAAACTTTTTTCTATCAAGATATTGACTTATATGTTGCAATATAGTTTCTAGTTCACCTAGTCTCGATGCATCACCTCCAAGAGATTCAAGGATTGCTTTTGCAATCCTAATCTCATCAAAAGGTTCCGAGACACATACCCATGTTTTTTTGTCAAAATGGGTTTTCACCTTATCACTATTAAAAACTAATCGAGCAAGAGTAGTCTTACCGATTCCTCCCATCCCTACAATAGAAATGACAGAGATGGCTGGTTCTTGACTACTCTCATTCAACAACTTGTTTAATAACTTCTCCTTATCATCGTCTCTTCCATGAACCATTGGTACATCAATAAAAGATGCAGTCATTGGTCGTCTTATTTCTGTAGTGCGCTCTTTCAAACTGAAATGAAACGTATCTTTTTCCCGAGCAATAACATCTAGTGTTTTATTTAGACTTCTTATCCTGCTAACAACGGCACAAGGCAGGATAACTTTTCTGAAACAAAAGCTATAACAAGGGACGAGGGAACATACCTTTTTTATCATAGGCTTGGAGGCATTTCCAACTTCCTTAAGTTGTAATTTTCCAATAGAAGTGTTCCACTCATCCAACACATCATCTATATCATAAGCTGCCTCTTTAAGCTTATCCAACCAATCCCTCACAGCACTATCCTTGAATTGTCTGCTCTCTGCATCTTCAAGAACAGCTTGAATGGACCGAAAATTACTGGTGAGTTTTCGGACGTCATCATCAACACCCGCCACAAGCTTCAACTCTTGACGAGCGATTGAAGCCAGCTGCTCCAAGACAAAAGAAACAAGTACTTCAGCCATACTGAAAGACGGTAAATGATTGAAGAAAGATGAGAAATTGATATTTAGTGTTGTGTGTAGAGTAGACAATGCAACGGTACGCACATTCAATAAATATAGGGCATGGAACAGATAGAGGGAATCTTAGTTTAACCAATAAGATAGAGGGAAGACTGGGGAGGGGATAAGAAATAACTTCGCCGCCCTGCCAACCATCAAACATATAGCCGGCTGGGTCCTTTTCTCATAAAAGCTGTCACTAAGTTTTGGGAATGATTTTTCATTAAGCAAAGAGTAAGCACAGTGTAGTTCTTATATATAGTAACAAAGTTTACTGTAGGAGGTAAAACGCACCGTTTTGTTAATGGTGTTATTAACAGTTAAACATCCTTTAACAAACTTAAAAGTAAACTAACTCCTTATTAATCCCATTTAATAAAAATTATATCAATAATATTAACCTCACTAATCCCTCTCACTAACCCCTCTCACTAATCCTATGTGGGAGTTTGTGATTGGCTTGGTTAGGTGGGACTCATTATTAGACAGACGAACCCCATGTAAATTGACGAATTGTGAACTGACATATGGTGTTAGTAAGAGAAGGTTAGTGAAAAGTGTTAATGAGTGTAGTTGTACTCAAATTATATATATAAATAATATAATTTGATGTAATAAATAACTTAATACGAAGTGATTTTGTAAAGATTCATATCTGAATTATAGGTAAAATAATACATTAATTATATCTCTAAAGTTGGGTTGATGACGTGTCATTATTTTATTGCCCACTGTATAGTTACAGTTCGAGGGTGTGCACAGTCTGCGGTTCTGTGCTACAGCCACCGAGCCGCCCCATGTATCTTTTGGGAAAAGTGGACGGCCTGATCGCCGCCTCCTTTAGAGCGCGTGGAAGCACGCATCACTCGATTACGTCCAAAGTGCTGAAAAATTGGTGCAGTCCGCACCCGGTTAGGTAAAATCATTAAACCCCTCCTGTGTCAATAATCTTACTGGCACTATAGTTGTTTGTAAATATATCAAAATGACCCCTACTAACTACTAAGAGGGGAGGGAACATTTATTATAGAGCAAAAAAATTGCTTATTCAACCCACTTTCATTGAAAGTGGTCAGACTACCCAATTAAATATTATCATATATTATGGATATAATGCCAAAATGTGTTAGTTTTTTTTTCTTTTTTTTTTTTAATTATGAAATATTGTAACAAGATTTAGTTGATAGGTCTTGTAGTGAGGTGCTAGAATATATTATTATAGGATTGTATTACATTAAATTTAATAAATTAAACAAACGTTGAGGTATAATAAAATAATAATATCCCTCTAAGGTATCTGAAATAACAAAAATTCTTCTAACTTTAATGAACTATTAACAAGTCATTAAAAGTTTGTAAATATTATAAAATTGTCCTCCTCTCTTTTATTATAACACTTAAAACTTAACGATAAGAAGATTTTTATTATTTCGAAATCTCATACCTCAATGAGGTTAATGTTATTAACCCTAAATTATTTAATATTATATTGAATTTACTATATATCTACCATTCGGTCTAGCGGACAATTATGAAAATCATGGATCAAAATAAACAAATTAGTGGAAATTGGCCATCACATAATAATGGAGCCACTGAGCATAGTAACAAGCAAGAGTATCATAAAGCTTCAACGGTATTAATAGATTGACAGTGCAAATAAACCTATAAAACAGTAATTTAGAAAAAAAGTTGGAGGTTACTGGATAAAAATTCTAAATCTAAAATTAATAAAAAAAGTGAAAAATAAATTTGAAAACAATTAAGCTTGTATTATTATTGTTAATTAGTCCAGCCCTTAAATGAAGTGGGCCTCTTGGGCTTCCTTATCAAATGCATGGGCCTAAGTCAACTTGCTTTGATGGCTACCTCATTTAAAGAGATTTTTTTTAAGAAATTGAATCCCAAGTTCCTATTTACCCCCTTAAGTTTAACAAACATTTACATAATCTGTTAGAGGATTTTTTCTATTTAAAGACTACAATACCTCTCATTCTGACATTGTCACAGTTTTAAAAACCCAAATTTTGTTATCTGACTATCTATTTCTCCTCAACGTTTATTATAATCAGAGAGTATACTAGATTTACCTAAAATTTAACAAACGTTTACATAATTAGTTAATTAGAAGGATTTTTCTGTTTAAAGAACAGAATATCTCTCATTTTGATATTATCAAAGTTTTTAAAGCCCATATTTTCCCTCCTGACTGTCTATTTCTCCTTAACGTTTGTTACAATCAGAGAGGATATATCCTAATACTTAAAACTATAAGACTTGGACTGGTGAACCTAAACCATGGGGATCAATATGGAATTAACTCATCTCTTACACAGCTTCATAGGTTTGAACTATTTTATTGATTGATTTTTTATTTTACTTGCCATGAGCCCACGACGGATCTTCCTTAAAAAATGACAATGAGACCACTTATGGGGCTTTCTTGAATGTGGATCCAGTTTATGAGAAGATATCACTAAGGAGCTTGGTAAGTTGATGAATACATTAACATATTAGAATAAAACTGCAAAATTTTAGGGAAAAAAAAACACATTGAATACTCAATTTATAAGGTTTGGCAGGCTTGAGTCTAAAATAAACATTTTCTACTTGGTTGGTTTTGGATCCATTAAACTTGCTAAGCTCAAAGCACAATTTCTACTTAGTTGAGCCGAGATTTCACGTGAAGATACATTTTATACTTAGAAACTAAATGCCAAACATACACTATACAATACTCCATCTCTTGATGTTGGTCCACTGGCTATTAATTTTTTTTGAAGCTCCTTTACCTCAGCATAATTCATTTGGTTAACTAAAATCCATTGAACTGACATTTTTAAAAGCTCTATTGCTATTGGGGAGTAATAAAATTGTATACATTGCCTTTGGGAAGTGAATTAAATTACTTCAACACCATAGCTGAATTATTCAAATTAAAGAAAATTATTAATATTTTGCTCTCTTCTATTTTGAAACCATAACATCTGGTTTTATGCGATTGGACTAAATCTGTCTACGTTTACAGAACGTGATCAATTCACTATAAATATAAAAAACACAATACAAGATCAAACCGTAGTAAAGCCCTCTCCATTTTAACACTCAAGATCAATCGCCCAAAGATTAATCCCAACTCGCCTCTGAAACCATTGTACACCGGCTCTCAGTTTTAACATACAAATACTTGACTTTTATTCAAGAGTATGCAAGTCTGCAACATCAAGAAATAAGAAAGATGAAGCCAAAATAAACTCCTACTTTATATAATACAAAGCAATAGTAGGTGATAGCCTAAGCATCGAAAGCTGCATGAGGGTTATGCCAGTTGATAGCAGTCTGTCCATTGCTCTGCTCCATCATCGACAGTCATTTTAAAAGATCATTCTCATTATAAGCAACTATCTTGCAACTTAGACTCCCTCTTGAGAACAAGTGAGCTCAAATTTTCTCCATTACTCAGCAAACATTTAATAGCAGTATCGAATATGGTTCTTGGAAACACAAGCCTTGGTTCAGGTATTTCATCTTTCAACCACTTTTCTGACCTTTACGTTGAAGAAAGAAAACAAAAACAGGGTTTACCAGATTTAATTAAGAAATTACCAGTGAGTGGATGGCCATTATAGCAGCTCTTGGAATCATTACGTAATGGTAATGGCATGATTGTAAAACTTCCATCTCCTCTCAAAGTAATATCATCTCACTCTTTCCCTCATACAAAAGCTGCTATTAAGGTAAACGAATTCTCCCACATCGACACGATAATAGAAAGCACAATGCTTTATAAACGACTTGGCAGAGTTTTTCCTTCGCCGGGCTCAGCAACGAGGGCCTGTAACCAAGTGGGGCAACAAAGTGGTTGGACGCTGGCTGGGCTTTTCAGGTTGGGTTTGCTGGGTCTTATATTGGCTCGCCCAATCCAAGTAAAGAGTTGAACCTTGTGGGCTGGGCGAAGGCCTGGACCATACGGTTCCTAAAGTGGAGGATACAGCGTGAGGCTGGTCACAGAGCAGCGACTACCTCCCGCTCTTGTCAGTGGATGGATAACGGGTCGGTTCCCATCATGCTCACCAATGCCTGGCAAGCCCATCTCAATTGGACACCCACTTTTTTTTTATTTCATTTATCTCATTTGATATTTACTCCATAACACGTACGTGAATTGGCTGAAAAGGAGCCTGATAATCTTCTCTCTAAAATGCTCCCCAGTTATGTTAGTTTTCAAATAGTCTCATCGGCAACAAGAGAACTACTGTGGTTAGTAATGTCAGAGAAATTACTACCTGCCAACTGCTGCACTTAATTAGGTATGTGTTCTTCAGGTTACTTTATTATTTGAATTGATTTTGGAGTTAATGATTTTTTTCCACCCAAATAATGGTTTAAAGATATTTTGCCATCCAGAAACTTTTAAAATATCACTTTATTAATCAAATTTATATTCTAATAGTAAACCAAAAGCAAACTCGGTTTAAGTGGTTAAAGTTTTTTAAGAGGGGAGGTCGATGAATCTTTTGGTGGTAAAAGGTTGGATTTTGATGATTTGAATTGATCGGAATTTTACTTAAAAGGGACGATTGCACAAGCTTTAATCGCTTAATTGCCAATAATTGGCAAGGTTAATGGGAGTAAGGTTTGAAAGGTTTTTGTGAGTGATGATAGGGAAAGAGAATAGTGGTTGTATGCGGTTGCAACGATGCTGAAATTAGAAACAGAATATAAATTTAGATAATAAAGTGGTATTTTAAAAATATGTGAATGAGAAAGTATCACTAAACCATTATTTGGGTGAAAAAAAGTCGTTTACTCTTGATTTTGAGTTCATATTTACATTACACAATTAAGATAGGAAATGGGTGAAGATTTAACATTTTGTATTCATTTTTGCCGTATACATGGGCCAAGACCAATTGCACCAAAATACAAGTTCTTTGAAAGTTCCATTTCTGTTCCTAATGCTATAATTTCTATTGTCACCTGAGGAAAAAAGTAAACGCCTTGACTTCTGACTTTGAATTTTCTCTGCTCATAATTTTCAATGTTCATTTGGCCCTGCATATGATTTCATACATTGATATTTAGTGTTGTGTGTAGAGTAGACAATGCAACGGTACGCACATTCAATAAATATAGGGCATGGAACAGATAGAGGGAATCTTAGTTTAACCAATAAGATAGAGGAAGACTGGGGGAGGGATAAGAAATAACTTCGCCTCCCTGCCAACCATCACCATGTAGCCGGCTCGGTCGTTTTCTCATAAAAGCTGTCACTAGGTTTTGGGAATGATTTTTCATAAGCAAAGAGTGAGCACAGTGTAGTTTTCTTATATAGTAACAAAGTTTACTGTAGGAGGTAAAACGCACCGTTTTGTTAATGGTGTTATTAACAGTTAAACATCCTTTAACAAACTTAAAAGTAAACTAACTCCTTATTAATCCCATTTAATAAAATTAATCAATAATATTAACCTCACTAATCCCTCTCACTAACCCCTCTCACTAATCCTATGTGGGAGTTTGTGATTGGCTTGGTTAGGTGGACTCATTATTAACGACACGAACCCCATGTAAATGACGAATTTGAACTGACATATGGTGTTAGTAAGAGAAGGTTAGTGAAAATGTTAATGAGTGTAGTTGTACTCAAATTATATATATAATATATAATTTGATGTAATAAATAACTTATACGAAGTGTTTTGTAAGATTCATATCTGAATATAGGTAAAATAATACATTAATATATTCTCTAAAGTTGGGTTGATGACGTGTCATTATTTTATTGCCCACTGATAGTTACAGTTCGAGGGTGTGCACAGTCTGCGGTTCTGTGCTACAGCCACCGAGCCGCCCCTGTATCTTTTGGAAAAGTGGACGGCCTGATCGCCGCCTCCTTTAGAGCGCGTGGAAGCACGCATCACTCGATTACGTCCAAGTGCTGAAAAATTGGTGCAGTCCGCACCGGTTAGGTAAAATCATTAACCCCTCCTGTGTCAATAATTTACTGGCACTATAGTGTTTGTAAATAATCAAAATGACCCCTACTAACTACTAAGAGGGGAGGGAACATTTATTATAGAGCAAAAAAATTGCTTATTCAACCCACTTTCATTGAAAGTGGTCAGACTACCCAATTAATATTATCAATATTATGGATATAATGCCAAAATGTGTTAGTTTTTTTTTCTTTTTTTTTTTAATTATGAAATATTGTAACAAGATTTAGTGATAGGTCTTGTAGTGAGGTGCTAGAATATATTATTAAGGATTGTATTACATTAATTTAATAAATTAAACAAACGTTGAGGTATAAAAAATAATAATATCCCTCTAAGGTATCTGAAATAACAAAATTCTTCTAACTTTAATGAACTATTACAAGTCATTAAAAGTTTGTAAATATTATAAAATTGTCCTCCTCTTTTATTATAACACTTAAAACTTAACGATAAGAAGATTTTTTATTTCGAAATCTCATACCCAGAGTTAATGTTATTAACCATAATTATTTAATATATATTGAATTTACTATTATCTACCATTCGGTCTAGCGGACAATTATGAAAATCATGGATCAAAATAAACAAATTAGTGGAAATTGGCCATCACATAATAATGGAGCCACTGAGCATAGTAACAAGCAAGAGTATCATAAAGCTTCAACGGTATTAATAGATTGACAGTGCAAATAAACCTATAAAACAGTAATTAGAAAAAAGTTGGAGGTTACTGGATAAAAATTCTAAATCTAAAATTATAAAAAAAGTGAAAAATAAATTGAGAAACAATTAAGCTTGTATATTATTGTTAATTAGTCCGCCCTTAAATGAAGTGGGCCTCTTGGGCTTCCTTATCAAATGCATGGGCCTAAGTCAACTGCTTTGATGGCTACCTCATTTAAAGAGATTTTTTTTAAGAAATGAATCCCAAGTTCCTATTTACCCCTTAGTTTAACAAACATTTACATAATCTGTTAGAGGATTTTTTCTATTTAAGACTACAATACCTCTCTTCTGACATGTCACAGTTTTAAAACCCAATTTGTTATCTGACTATCTATTTCTCCTCAACGTTTATTATAATCAGAGAGTATACTAGATTTACCTAAAATTTAACAAACGTTTACATAATTAGTTAATTAGAAGGATTTTTCTGTTTAAAGAACAGAATATCTCTCATTTTGATATTATCAAAGTTTTTAAAGCCCATATTTTCCCTCCTGACTGTCTATTTCTCCTTAACGTTTGTTACAATCAGAGAGGATATATCCTAACTTAAACTATAAGACTTGGACTGGTGAACCTAAACCATGGGGATCAATTGGAATTAACTCATCTCTACACAGCTTCATAGGTTGAACTATTTTTTGATTGATTTTTTATTTTACTGCCATGGCCCACGACGGATCTTCCTTAAAAAAGACAATGAGACCACTTATGGGGCTTTCTGAATGTGGATCCAGTTTATGAAGATATCACTAAGGAGCTTGGTAAGTTGATGAATACATTAACATATTAGAATAAAACTGCAAATTTTAGGGAAAAAAAAACACATTGAATACTCAATTTATAAGGTTTGGATCCCTCACACCACTATCCATGAATTGTCTGTTCTCTGCATCTTCAAGGACAACCCGAATGGATCGGAAATGGCTGGTGAGCTTTCGGACTTGGTCATCAACACCCGCCACCAGCATTAACTGTTGGTCAAGTTGTTGACGAGCGATTGAAGCCAACTGCTCCAAGACAACAGAAACAAGTGCTTCAGCCATACTCAAAGATGGAAAAGGATTGAAGAAAGATGAGAAATTAAATTAAACTAACTGTTTATGAATCCAGGTTTAGAAACTAACCAGCAGCTTAACTAAACTACATTGTTTAACTCAACTTGATACTAAACTAACTCTTTATTGAACAGGTGGTGTTTAAAAAATTCATTAAACCTGGCGGCCACCTTGTCTTGGGAAATATATTTTATGCGTAAGAAAATTGATTGAAATTTTGGCATTAAATGCACAACAGATGCCTTGGGAAATATTTTTTATGCCTCAGAAAATTGATAGAAATTTTGTCATTACTACTGCATGACAGATGTCTAGGGTACGTGGCATCAGCTTTAATTAATGGGTAATGCTATGACCGAAATTTTACACTGAATTTTTGTACTTAAGGACATGACAACCAATCAGATTTTATTAGTCTTTTATGAATAAAAAATTATCTAATATTTATAGACATTCTTCCATATTTAATGAACTTTCATTTATATTGTATGGACAGGTATCTATTTACTAGATAGATGTTCATTCAAAATATTTAAAATAAAATAATAGATGCTCGTCCATCTTATATGGACGTGTGTCTATATAAGATGGACACTCATTCAAAAAATTTTAAAAAATTTTACATTCAATGGACAAGCGTCTCTTTATTTAATTTAAAAAATTTTACATTCAATTTGGGAGGCCCAAATTTTAGTTTAATAAAAAAATTTCTTTAAATTTTTCAATTAGAATGTTTAAAAATTTAGGTCTCCCAAAATAGGTTTCATTTCTCTCTTGCATTTTATTTATAAATGAAAAAAAAAAATGAAAAATTTGAGAATGGATGCCAGTCCACTCATGTGGATGACGATCATCCAAATAAGTGGACCGATCATCCAAATGAGTGGACTGGCATCCATTCTTTTACTTAAAATCAAATTTTTTTTCTTTTATTTCATCTAAAAATTTTATATTTTAAAAATAAATATTTCATCTAAAATTATATGGACGCCCGTCCATATAATATGGACGATCGTCCATAGTAAAAGGATATGGACGGGAGTCCGCGTCGGTGTCCGCAGCATTTTTCTTAATTAATTATTGAGCAATGCTATAGTTATCGAAGAATGCGCTTCGAATTCATGCACCGAATGACGTGACGTCATTATGTTTTCTTAAAAAAGGATATTCATAATTAATCGACGTCAAGATGGCATCACGTCATTCGGTGTATAAGTTCGGTGTACATTATTCATTAACTGTATTATTTTCCTTAATTATTTTATGAATTATGGGAGTGGTGATTTTAATGAAAAATATTTAAAATTCCATAATAATTTTTCCACTTAAAAAAAAACCTTAATTAAATAAGGAAAAAAAACAACTCATTTTGAAGGGTGTGTTCTTTTTTTATTTTTAAATGTTAAAATTGATTGAGAAGAGTGAGAAATGAAAATCTATTGGACATATTTGTCTAAAAATGTATTTTTCAAAAGGCCATTCTAAGTGAGGCCGAAATGACAGATTAGTACCTAAAAGGTTTGAAAATGACAAACTAATACTTTCCGTCATGTACTGTTACTGATTTCTGTTTGCAAAAGGATAATATAGTAATTTAATGTACAGTTACCAAACTTTTAGGCTCCGTTTGGTTCACAATTTTGTGTTTTTGGGAAAAGTTTTTGAAAAAAGTTTAAAAAAAAGTTGAATTGGGCGGGTATTACAATGTAGGATTTACAAATTATAAAATACCCCTTATGTTTGTTTATTTACAAAACACCCCCATAATAAAACATTAAAAGTTAACAAAAACACCTCTAACCCACCCTCAAATACGGACAGCCGGCCACCACCGCCAGAGGGTGGCTGGATTCACTGTATCGGTGCATGACCGGCTGGATCTTACCGATCGGGCATCGATATGGCCAGATCTAGCCGTATTTGCTCCTCAACGACGGCCAACAAACGGTCGTCGTTGATGGTCAACGACGATCGTTTTTTGGCCGTCGTTACCAACTAGTTACGGCCAAAGATCTGGCCTTTTCTGAACAGATCCACTGTGGATCTGATCGGAAAGGGCTAGATCAGCGCACTACCGACCAGATTCAGCCGGTAGTGCGCCATCCTACTAGATTCTGGCCATTTTCCAGCGGTGGTGGTCGAAATATGGTAAATGTGGATTGTTGGGGTGTTTTTACAATTTTTAAAAAAATATTTAGAGGTATTTAATTAAATTAACAAATTTAGAGGGTTCAAAAAAAGTTGAATAATATTGAAAGTAGTATTCCCAAAAACCAGGGCTCCATTTGGTTCGCTTTTGGGAATACTAATAATAGTATTCCCAAAAAAGTTAAACAGTAACATGTCGACTCCATTTGGTTGCCAATTGGGAATACTACTTTTAGTATTCCCAAAAAAGTTAAACAGTAAAATACCCCAAAACTTTGATTTTTTGGAATATTACTCCAAATATTATTCAACTTTTTTTAAACCCCTTAAATTTGATAATTTAATTAAATACCCCTAAATATTTTTTTTAAAATTACAAAAACACCCCAATAATTCATATTTACCAGATTTCGGCCACCACTGCCGGAAAATGGCCGGAATCTGTTAGGATGGCACACTACCGGCTGAATCTGGCCGGTAGTGCTTTTTTGCAGAGATTATGGTTATCTCCAAGCTTCCTTGTGTTTTGAGAGCTTGAAATGAAAAAGATATTGGGATTGGAGGTGGCGGTGGGCCGTGTCTAAAAATTCAAGGCTCATCGTATCGTGGGCCGTGTCGTGCCAAGGCCCACAAAAATTCGTGCCGTGTCGGCCCATCAAATTTGAAGGCCTACAACACGGCCCACTACATATTGTGTCGTGAGTCGGCCCACTTGTTTTGTAAAAATATATAATTTCAATATTTATAAATGATAGTAATTTTGATTTATAATTAATAATTATTATAAAAATATTTTATATGTTATATTTAGTGACATTTTGTATTTATATTAATTAAAAAAATATATAATCATTATAAAATGTATAAAATAATGACACATTGAAATATTAATTGAATTTCAACACTTTTTATTGTTTATAAGTTATAATTATAAATACAAACTTAAAAATTAGGATTAAGAATTATTATACATCTTAATTTTCATTAATTTCTAAGGGTGTATTTGGTTTATTATTTTGGATAAGATTTTGGGAAAATATTGGGTAGTTGAATAGGAGAGTATTACGAGGTAAAATTTAAAAATTTCTAAAAAACCCCATAAGTTTGCTAATTTAATTAAATACCCCAATATATAAATTTTTTGTAAAATAACAAAAACACCCCCATCACCCGCAGTGCCAGATTCCGGCCACCACCACGGGAATTTGGCTGAAAAATTGTGTTACGACACAGACATGTTGAATCTGTGTCGTACTGCGTCGATATGACCTTTTTTGGCCAGATCTATAGCCAAATGTGGTCGTCGAAAGCCGGAAAAAGCCAAAGATATGGTCGTGGTTTTCGGTCAATGATGGCCAGATTTGGCCTTTTCTGGCCAGATCCACTGTGGACTGGCCGAAAAAGGCTAGATCGGTGAACTACTGGCCAGTTATGGTCGTGGTGTAGGCCGTTGTATATATTTCGGCTACCACCGACGGTGATTACTGGAATCTAGCAAGTATGGGTTGATGGGGGTATTTTTGTTAATTTTTAAACCTTTTTTTTTTGGTATTTATGAAATTAATAAACTTTAGGGGTCTAAAAGTAATTAAATTTTTTTTCAAAAAATGTGTCAAACAATATTTGGGGAATATGGATAGAAATAGGGAGCCAAACACACCCTAAATTCTTATAATTTAATTTTTCATAATTTTTTATTTTTTTGGTGCTATGCCTATGTGCCGACACGGCGCCGACTCTAATTGGAATTTATATTATATATGCAGTAGCTAGGACGCAATGAGACGTTTACTTTGAAGTGCCAGTTGCAATGCAAGAAAATTGCAGAGTCTGATTCCTGAAGATATGAGAAGAATTATCTGCTATGTTATTAATTAGGAAGGAACGTCAAAAAGTCAACATGATAGGCTATGTTTGGCTTAGTATTTTTATCTATATTCTGGATCTATTCTCAAAATAATGTTTGACGCATTATTTCAGAAATATTACCCTATTTTTTAATTACTTTTAGACCCTATAAGATTATTAATTTCACTAAATACCCCTTGAAAAAAAGTTTAAAAATTAACAAAAACACCCCCATCAACCCAACTCGTAAGATTCCGGCAACCACCGTCGGTGATAGCCAGAATCTGTACAACAGCCTAACTTCCGACCAGAAATGGCCGGAAGTTCACCAATGTGGTCTTTTCCGGTCGTCGACGTCCATAACAGACCGTAGATCTGGCCTTTTCCGGCAAGATCCACCATGGATCTGGCCGAAAAAGGTCATAACGACGTGTTACAGCACAGATCCAACCGGTCTGTGCCGTAACAAAATTTTCCGGCCAGATTCCGGCGGTGGTGGCCAGAATCTGGCACTGCAGGTGGTGGGCGTATTTTTGTCATTTTATCTGTTAGGGTCTTTAATTAAATTAGTAAACCTGAGGGTTTTTTTACAAATTTTTAAAATTTACCTCGTAATACTCCCCTATCCAATAACCCAATACTATCCCCAAAATTCTATCCAAAATACTAAACCAAACGCACCCATAATTATCCGAAATACAAGTCAATATGGGAATATGAACACTTTGCATCGGTCAGTGCACTGTCACTGGTTCATGCCTGCCTACAGCGGCGGTACTGAATCGAATTTGTGTATAGAATGACGTGATAAAATCTTGATCATTGATTAATTTTAACTTAATATTAATCAACGGTTGATTAATTTTAACTTAATATTAATCAACGGTCAAAATTTTATCACGTCATTCGGTGCACAAATTCAGTGCACTACTATCAGTGGCTATAGCATTACTCGCCTAACAAATGATAAATTTTCGTTTGTTTCACTTTTGGGAGTATTCCCAAAAAAGTTAAACGGTAAAATATTATTATTCTCAAAATATTATTTTATATTTTTCAATTTATTTTAAATTTTATGAATTTATTAATTTAACTAAACACCCTCAAATATTTTTTTTAGAAATTACAAAAATACTCTGATCATCCTCTAACGGTGACGACCGACTGTCCATATTTAATGGATGGGTTAAAGGTGTTTTTGTTAATTTTTAATATTTTATTATAGAGATGCTTAGCAAATAAACAAACATAAGTGCGTTTGGTTTAGTATTTTGGATAGGATTTTAGGGATAGTATTGGGTTATTGGATATGGGAGTATTATGAGGTAAATTTTAAAAATTTATAAAAAAGCCCTTAGGTTTACTAATTTAACTAAAGACCCTAACATGTAAAATGACAAAAACACCCCCACCACCTGCAGTGTCAGATTCCGGCCACCACCGCCGGAATCTGGCCGGAAAATTTCGTTACAGCACAGACTTGTCGGATCTGTGCCGTAACACGTCGTTATGGCCTTTTCCGGCCAGATCTACGGTTTGTTATGGCCGTCGACGGCCGGAAAAGGGCAAACGAGGGCCATCTTTGGCCGTCAGCGACGGCCAAAGATGTGGCCGTCGTTTTCGGTCAACGACGGCCAGTTCTTTGGCCGTGATCTGGCCTTTTCCGGCCAGATCCGTGGTGGATCTGGCCAGAAAAGGCCACAGCGGTGAACTTCCGACCATTTCTGGTCGGAAGTTTGGCCGTTGTACAGATTCCGGCTATCACCGACGGTGGTTGCCGGAATCTGACAAGTTAGGTTGATGGGGGTGTTTTTGTTCATTTTTAAACTTTTTTTCAGGGGGTATTTAGTGAAATTAATAACCTTATAGGGTTAAAATGTAATTAAAAAAATAGGATAATATTTTTAGAATATTGTACCAAACGCTATTTGAAAAATAGGATCCAGAATAGAGATAAAAATATTAAACCAAACGCATACTAAGATATTTTTATTAATTTTCAAATCTTATAACATAACACCCATCTAATTTAACTTTTTTTCAAAATATTATTTTAAAAACTACAGAATAATAAACCAAACTGAATAATCTTGTATTATGGCGTTATTGATTAATGTTTCAATCCGCGATTTCTTTATTTACTTTTTTTTTTTTTTTNGTGCGTTCTGTCAAACTGAAGCCAAACATATTTTTTTCCATACAAATAACATCTAGCGTTCTATTTAGACGCTTTATCTGGCGAGCAATGGCACAAGGCAGGATAACTTTTGTAAAACAAAAGCGATAACAACAGATGAGGGAACATACCTTTTTGATCATCGACTTGGAGGCATTTCTAAGTTCCGTAAGTTGTAATTTCCCAATAGAAGTGTTCCACTCATCCAACACATCATCTATATCATACGATGCCTCTTTAAGCTTGTCCAGCCAATCCCTCACACCACTATCCATGAATTGTCTGTTCTCTGCATCTTCAAGGACAACCCGAATGGATCGGAAATGGCTGGTGAGCTTTCGGACTTGGTCATCAACACCCGCCACCAGCATTAACTGTTGGTCAAGTTGTTGACGAGCGATTGAAGCCAACTGCTCCAAGACAACAGAAACAAGTGCTTCAGCCATACTCAAAGATGGAAAAGGATTGAAGAAAGATGAGAAATTAAATTAAACTAACTGTTTATGAATCCAGGTTTAGAAACTAACCAGCAGCTTAACTAAACTACATTGTTTAACTCAACTTGATACTAAACTAACTCTTTATTGAACAGGTGGTGTTTAAAAAATTCATTAAACCTGGCGGCCACCTTGTCTTGGGAAATATATTTTATGCGTAAGAAAATTGATTGAAATTTTGGCATTAAATGCACAACAGATGCCTTGGGAAATATTTTTTATGCCTCAGAAAATTGATAGAAATTTTGTCATTACTACTGCATGACAGATGTCTAGGGTACGTGGCATCAGCTTTAATTAATGGGTAATGCTATGACCGAAATTTTACACTGAATTTTTGTACTTAAGGACATGACAACCAATCAGATTTTATTAGTCTTTTATGAATAAAAAATTATCTAATATTTATAGACATTCTTCCATATTTAATGAACTTTCATTTATATTGTATGGACAGGTATCTATTTACTAGATAGATGTTCATTCAAAATATTTAAAATAAAATAATAGATGCTCGTCCATCTTATATGGACGTGTGTCTATATAAGATGGACACTCATTCAAAAAATTTTAAAAAATTTTACATTCAATGGACAAGCGTCTCTTTATTTAATTTAAAAAATTTTACATTCAATTTGGGAGGCCCAAATTTTAGTTTAATAAAAAAATTTCTTTAAATTTTTCAATTAGAATGTTTAAAAATTTAGGTCTCCCAAAATAGGTTTCATTTCTCTCTTGCATTTTATTTATAAATGAAAAAAAAAAATGAAAAATTTGAGAATGGATGCCAGTCCACTCATGTGGATGACGATCATCCAAATAAGTGGACCGATCATCCAAATGAGTGGACTGGCATCCATTCTTTTACTTAAAATCAAATTTTTTTTCTTTTATTTCATCTAAAAATTTTATATTTTAAAAATAAATATTTCATCTAAAATTATATGGACGCCCGTCCATATAATATGGACGATCGTCCATAGTAAAAGGATATGGACGGGAGTCCGCGTCGGTGTCCGCAGCATTTTTCTTAATTAATTATTGAGCAATGCTATAGTTATCGAAGAATGCGCTTCGAATTCATGCACCGAATGACGTGACGTCATTATGTTTTCTTAAAAAAGGATATTCATAATTAATCGACGTCAAGATGGCATCACGTCATTCGGTGTATAAGTTCGGTGTACATTATTCATTAACTGTATTATTTTCCTTAATTATTTTATGAATTATGGGAGTGGTGATTTTAATGAAAAATATTTAAAATTCCATAATAATTTTTCCACTTAAAAAAAAACCTTAATTAAATAAGGAAAAAAAACAACTCATTTTGAAGGGTGTGTTCTTTTTTTATTTTTAAATGTTAAAATTGATTGAGAAGAGTGAGAAATGAAAATCTATTGGACATATTTGTCTAAAAATGTATTTTTCAAAAGGCCATTCTAAGTGAGGCCGAAATGACAGATTAGTACCTAAAAGGTTTGAAAATGACAAACTAATACTTTCCGTCATGTATTGTTACTGATTTCTGTTTGCAAAAGGATAATATAGTAATTTAATGTACAGCTACCAAACTTTTAGGCTCCGTTTGGTTCACAATTTTGTGTTTTTGGAAAAAGTTTTTGAAAAAAGTTTAAAAAAAAGTTGAATTGGACGGGTATTACAATGTAGGATTTACAGATTATAAAATACCCCTTATGTTTGTTTATTTACAAAACACCTTCATAATAAAACATTAAAAGTTAACAAAAACACCTCTAACCCACCCTCAAATACGGACAGCCGGCCACCACCGCTAGAGGGTGGCTGGATTCACCGTATCGGCGCATGACCGGCTGGATCTTACCGATCGGGCATCGATATGGCCAGATCTAGCCGCATTTGCTCCTCAACGATGGCCAACAAACGGTCGTCGTTGATGGTCAACGACGATCGTTTTTTGGCCGTCGTTACCAACTAGTTACGGCCAAAGATCTGGCCTTTTCTGAACAGATCCACTGTGGATCTGATCGGAAAGGGCTAGATCAGCGCACTACCGACCAGATTCAGCCGGTAGTGCGCCATCCTACTAGATTCTGGCCATTTTCCAGCGGTGGTGGTCGAAATATGGTAAATGTGGATTGTTGGGGTGTTTTTACAATTTTTAAAAAAATATTTAGAGGTATTTAATTAAATTAACAAATTTAGAGGGTTCAAAAAAAGTTGAATAATATTGAAAGTAGTATTCCCAAAAACCAGGGCTCCATTTGGTTCGCTTTTGGGAATACTAATAATAGTATTCCCAAAAAAGTTAAACAGTAACATGTCGACTCCATTTGGTTGCCAATTGGGAATACTACTTTTAGTATTCCCAAAAAAGTTAAACAGTAAAATACCCCAAAACTTTGATTTTTTGGAATATTACTCCAAATATTATTCAACTTTTTTTAAACCCCTTAAATTTGATAATTTAATTAAATACCCCTAAATATTTTTTTTAAAATTACAAAAACACCCCAATAATTCATATTTACCAGATTTCGGCCACCACTGCCGGAAAATGGCCGGAATCTGTTAGGATGGCACACTACCGGCTGAATCTGGCCGGTAGTGCACCGATCTAGCCTTTTCCGGTCAGATCCACAGTGGATCTGGCCGGAAAAGGCCAGATCTAAGGCCAAAGATCTGGCCGTTGACGGCCAGATCTTTGGCCGTAACGGTTTATAACGACGGCCAACAAACGGTCGTCGTTGACCATCAACGACGACCGTTTGTTGGTTGTCGTTGACGAGAAAATACGGCCAGATCTGGCCTTAGATTGGGCCTTTGTCGGCCAGATCCACCGTGGATCTGGCCGGCAAAGGCCATATCGGCGCACGACCGGCAAGATCCAGCTGGTCATGCGCCAATACGATGAACCCGGCCACCCTCCGGCGGTGGTGGCCGACTGTCCGTATTTGACATTGGGTTGGGGGTGTTTTTATTAACTTTTAAGATTTTATTATAGGGGGTGTTTTGTAAATAAATAAATATAGGGGGTATTTTATCAATTTATAAATCCTACATCGTAATACCCGCCCAATTCAACTTTTTTTTTTTACTTTTTTCAGAAAACTTTTCCCAAAAACACCCAATTGTGAACCAAACGGAGCCGTCATTATTCCCAAAATATTATTCTATATTTTTTAATTTCTTTTGAACCTCCTAAATTTGTTAATTTAACTAAATACCCCTAAATATATTTTTTAGAAATTACAAAAACACTCCGACCATCCTCCGGTGATAGTGGTCAACTGTTCGTATTTAATGGGTGGATTAAAGATATTTTTATTAACTCTTAATATTTTATTATAGGGTGTTTAGTAAATAAATAAAAATAAGAGATATTTTTGTTAATTTTCAAATCCTACCTTGTAATAGCTGTCAAATTTAACTTTTTATGAAACACTAAAAGTAGTACTTCAAAATCCAACCAAACTGAAGCCTTAAATTTTAGGCTTCGTTTGGTTCGCTTTTGGGAATACTATTATTAGTATTTCTAAAAAAGTTAAACAGTAAAATGTCATTATTCCCAAAATATTATTCTATATTTTTTAATTTCTTTTAAACCTCTTAAATTTGTTAATTTAACTAAACACCCTCAAATATTTTTTTTTAGAAATTACAAAAACACTCCGGCCATCCTTCGACGGTGGTGGCCGGCTGTCCGTATTTAATGAGTGAGTTAAGGGTATTTTTATTAACTTTTAATATTTTATTATAGGGGTGTTTAGTAAATAAATAAATATAGAAGATATTTTTATTAATTTTTAAATCTTACATTGTAATACTCGCCCAATTTAATTTTTTTAAAAAAGATTATTCTAAAAATTAGCAGAATAATCAACAAAACTGAGTCTTAACTACTCGCCTCGATTAATGGAGCAAACTCTTTTTTGGAAGATTTTTGCTTAGGAGATGACACCTGTCCCTTAATATTGACTTTGCTAAAAAACCAAAAGCAAAAATCTTTTGCCTTTTCGTTGTTTGTCTGTGACTCTCTGAAGGAGTTTGTGAACTAAGTTGCTGCCATCGTTTGGAGAAAGATCGTGGGAACAGGAAACCATCGACGATGACTAGTAAAACGGAAACTGGCGACAGTGGAGGACGAGTTAAAACCGACGACAGTGGCAGAGAGAGTTTCATTGAACGGCAATGAATCCTAAACGAAGACGATAAACGACGTCTGAGGGAGAGAATCATGGGGTAACGACAATGGTGGAGGACGATTGAACGAATGCCAGCGTTATTAATGGTGGAGGACGACTATTAACGATATAAATCGTGGACGACTACCGAACAACGGAAACCGGGGGTTAACAGAGTAGGTAATATTCATCAGCATTTTTTTCATATTTCAGTGCACCACTAAGTGGGTATGAGTACGCTAGTTGTCGTAGATGAGTGTGTCTGTAGTGTTTTCCGAAAAGTATTTCCCGAGGGAAAGTTTTTTCTTGGTTTTTTCTTATTTCAGTGCACTACTAAGTTTTAAAGGACAAAAGTAACAAGTAAATTGTGAATCTGAAGTTTTTGTGCCTTTTGCATGTTTGGTTTTTATTTTTATTTTTATTTTTTTGTTTGTTTGTTTGGTTTAGGGTTTGCTTATAACTGAGTTGAAACCTGGATGTCCTTCCTAGCATAATTTTACAAGTTGCAGATTAAGACAATTGAACTGATGGTTGCTGGTTCAATTGGATAACGTGTTTCGAGTTTCCAACAAAACGTGTTATGTGATGGCCGTCGCCGATGGGCTCAAGTTTTTTCTGTGCAATTTCACAGGAATCGATTCAGGCCTCGCCTTTAATTATTGTACGTTGTGGCAGATTCATACAAATCAATACAAAAATGAAGTCTTTTTTTATTGTGATTGGTGAGTGTTAAAATAATAAAAAATTAACATAGTAATCTGAAGTGTTGTTCTGATGTGAAGA